CATCTGCCTCCAGGTGGGCGACACCAGGAGACAGTCACATATGTCACCAGGTGTACAGGCTGCCCTCGAGCGAGACAGGTCCAGGGGAGTGCAGGGGGCTCAGCGCCCGCGCTCTGCCCCCGGCTGGCCGCGCGGCCTCGGGTGGGCCCGTCACACCCCGGCCCGCAGTTCCTCCGCGGGCCACAGTAAAACCCGCTCACGGGCGCTGCACTGGTGGGCGGATTCGCTCCGGCGCAGCAGAGGGCCTTGAGCGAGCATCTGTGAGTGAACAGTGAGGCGGGGCGGGGCTGGGGGTGCTGGGGGGCGCCTTTCCTCCAGGGTCGGGCAAGGGAGGGGCTCCGGATGGCCGTGGCTCTTCCTCCTCCACAGACCCGCCTGCCCCTGCAGTCCTCACCTGCACCCAAGACCCCGCCCGAGGCAGGGAGCGGAGCCCGGCCTCCGCCCGGCAGGCGGGTACACGGAGCTCAGCCTGCCGCCCAGGCCGAGTCCCGGAGCCCCCACACCCTGGCACCCCCTCCTGGAGGGGCGTCAGACCCCCTCGCCCCTGGCACCCTCTGTCCTGCTTTGTCCCTGGTGAGCTGTGTGGTCCACAAAGGGAACCCACGTGGGGTGCTGGCCACCATGCCTCACCCCCAGAAAGCTGACCCCTGGGCACCCACCGTGTTGCCGGCAGCAGGAGCTCAGAACAGCTGAGGGCCAGCAGCCAGGCCCCCGCCCCCGGGGGCCCACGGGTCATCTCCCGCTTTCTGTCCAGGCCTGCCAGGCACCACCACTGCCACCGGGTGGACATCTGCTGTGGGGTGGCCACTCTCCAACCTCTCCTGGCAGCCGCAGGGCCCGCCCAGTGGCCCTGGGGCAGGGGTCAAGCGCCTACCCTCCCCCACATGGGCTGACCAGCCTGGGCTCCCTGCTGCTGTGGGCTGAAGGGCCCCTTGGCTGACCTTCACAGCAGCTTCTCGCAGCCTGGAGAGGCCTGGCCGTGTGCCTGTGGAGGGCCAGGCCGCTCTCCGGCTCCGCCCCCCCAGCCAGGGCTGTGGCCGGGCTCTGGTTAGGGTCCTAGCGAGTCCGCAGCCAGATCCTGGAGGGCCGGCCTGAAGAGTTCCAGGAGGGGAGTGCGAGGAAGTGTCCACAGCCACTGGCCGTCCCCACTGGACAGTGCCGTCTGGTCTCTGAACACCCCGGGTGGCTTTCCTGCCAGACCCCTTGCCTAGTTCTCGGGGTGCGAGGGGCACTGAAGTGCCCCCCGCCCAGGGCTGGCTCCCCTCCAGCCTGCTGTTCCTTGAGTTCTGCAGCAGGAGACACAGAAGCCATCGCCACCACCCCGGTTTCCGTAGCGGGTAGCTCGGAGCAACGTCGGGGCTCTTCGAGGCTTCGAGCCACAGCTGCACAGCCAGCGTCTCCCAGACTGTCTGTAGAAACGCCACCCCGTCGAGACAGCAGCCTGGGACTGCTGCCACTGAGAGGCAGGGGCCCTTGCGCTCTCGCAACCACTGCAGGCCTGGGCACAGGCGCGGCCCCCAGGGCAGCCCCCAGGGCTGACCAGCTGTGTCTGTGGCAGGCGCCGGGGGCCCTCGTTCGGTCAGGGCCCCAGGTGGCACCGCAGTGGCCGCTTCGAGGTCCGGGTGGTGGGGCTGCACTCCGGGGGTCCAGAGGAAGGGGTGCTGCAAAGCCCCGCGGCCGCCACCTGGGTCGGCCTGAGCCCTCTGTATCGGGTGCTCTCCCGGGAAGTGCGGCGTCCGCCTCCCGCCTCCCGCCCACTCTGTCCAGGCAGGCAGGGTGGGAAGAGACACGGGGCTTCGCCTGGTCATGAAAGTGCTGTTTATGCCCCCAAGGCGCTGAAAATAAAGGACGCCTGTCCGCTCCCTGAGTCAAAAGGCCATAATGGACTCAAATAGTGCTTTGTGGGCTCCAGAGACCCGAGTACCCGAAGACAGGTCTCTGCATGGACAGCCAGGGCGAGCAGCCAGGGCGAGCGACCGAGGGCTCCCGCCACCCCCACCCCCACCCCTGCTGGGGCAGGGGCATAAAGAGCCAGGTCTGGCCCGGCAGAGCAGGTGTCGTGGGAGGGGCAGCCGTGGGCATCTGCCTCCAGGTGGGCGACACCAGGAGACAGTCACATATGTCACCAGGTGTACAGGCTGCCCTCGAGCGAGACAGGTCCAGGGGAGTGCAGGAGAGCTTCAGGGCGGAGGTGGCCTCAAAAAGAGGCCGATTTCCAAGAGAGAAGGGCCGGCCGACAGCTGGGAGCTGGAGGGGCCGCAGGGGAGGGGGCGGCTCAGGGGGAGGCGGGCAGGGGAGGGGGAAGGTGGGGGGAAGGAAGATGGGCCCCCTGGGGTGACAGTCTGGGCTGGAGGAGTGCACCCAGGCCCAGGAGCCAGCCCGGACTCAGTGAGGCAAACGCCGTGTTTGCAGAAGAGAGCGTGGCACGGGCGTGCTGAGGCCACGCCGGGCGTCCTCACGCCCCCACAGCTGCCCCCGGGCCTGCAGGTCCACCTCAGCCCGCGGAGGGCCACCCGGGCAGCCCGCTGTCCCCTGCACACCATCCCAGCTTCGCTGGGAGCCCCCCGGCCTGGCCGCTGCTGGCTTGGCGCCTGGCGCTCCTTCCAGCCTGGAAGCCCTGGAGACCCACCGATTTCTGGTCGGCACTGACCCCAGCCGGCTCACTGTGCCGGGATGGGGTTCCCGCCGGCGTGGGGGTCACCTGGGGTGCTGGCCAGGCACCGGTCTGCAGCCCCGCCACTCAGTTCGGGGGCCCCACCCCTAAGAGCTCCTCGGGCATGGCGCCCTGTGACTGCGGCCTCGGGGGGCTCATCCCACCTGCCCAGTGAGGCCCGCTTGGGGTAGGGCCTGCCCCCGCGATGCAGCCCATGTGGCCACATGAACACGGGGATCCCCAGGACACATAAAGTGATGCTCACGCCACGCTGCAGTCATGACGTGTGCAACAGTTTTGTGCCCCAAAACACACACGTGCCTTAATGCCAGGTGACCGCCAGCGGGCTCCACTCACGGGAACCGCCCTCCGCAGAGCGCGAGGGAGGCCACGCCACCAGCCCTGTGCCTGCAGCTACCCATGAGTGTTCTGCGCAAAGACTTGAGATTTGCGGGGGTGGAGGGGTGAAAGAGCGGAAACCCATTTTCTCGCGTTGGCAGTGACCTGCGTCCCAGTCCGTGTCCTGAGCTCGGCCCTTGCAGGGCCGGGCAGCTGCTGCGGGAGGTGGAGGGCGGGGCGTGCTGCAGCTGCAGCGGCGAGTCCTGGCTCCCTGCAGGCACAGCGCAGGGCCTCTGGTCTTGCTAGCCCAGGCGTCCAGGCTCTGCTGTTGCTTAAGGCCGAGCTGCAATCCCCAGCGCCGGGGAGTGGGAAGTCCAGAGTTCTCCCCGTTTCTGGGAACAGCCCCTCCCCCTCGGTGCACCAGCCTCCTCATGACAGTGGATCATCTAGAGCATTTCACAAAAGCCTGGCCAGTTCCCAGCGCTGCGCAGCTGGAGGGCTCAGCCCTGGGGGCAGGAGCCCCGTCCTGCTCCTCCCAGGGCCTCCACTGGCCTCTGCCCGGGCCCAGGGGCTGGGGCACTGCAAGGGAGGGCCGCACTTGTCTGAGCCTGTCGGAGCAGGCGAAACCCGGGCCTTCCTCCCTGCCGATCTCCCAGCTCTGGCGTAGTGGAGTTCAGGGAGGAAATTCCCTGTCCCGGGAGGCAAGGAGGACTCGGCTCATCTCCCCCAAAGTTGTAGCAGTTAGTCCCAGAGTCACCTGGGGAGAGTTGTCTACTCAGGCTTGGACTGGCCCCAGGCCTCTGACTCAGGGCAGCGGGACTGGGGTCCCCGTGGGGATTTGACCTGCCCCTGGGGTCTGCTCCAGGCAGCGCTTCGGGACTGAGGGCTCTGGGTGGCACACAACCTGGATCAAGGCTGGACTCAGTCGGCACCCCCAAAGTGCCCGCCTGTCACTAGCCCCACGACCCGGGAAGTCTGCCCGTGGGTTTCAGGCCTCAGTTTCTCCACCTCTGAAATGGGTGTGTCCTGACCCGAGGGTGGTGACCAAGGTGCCGGTTCCCTGGACTTCCTGGGCTCACCCCAGCAGCAGCGCAGGGCAGCCGAGGACAGGGTCAGGCGTGCAAGAGGTGGCGGTTGCCACGGGGCAGAAATGGCACTGGAAGATACATCTGTGGGCACGAATGGCATCCGTGGCTACTCCGTGTCACCCTGCCAGTTTTCAGCCTGTGGCCTGACTCAGGAGCGGGAAGGAAGCGCCCGTGGGTCGGGTGCCTGCTGCGGGAGTGGGGTGGTGGGGTGTGGGCCGGCCAGTATCCCGGGGTAGAGCGTGTGTTGGGGCCAGGGGAGCTCTGCGGCCTGGAAGGGGGTCTCCGCTCCCCTGGGACATGCAAACTTGATCCGCTTGCGGCTCCCTAAGCAGCCTCGCAGGGCCCAGGGGCCCCAGGGACCACGGACGCCCTCGCTCCCGGCCCCTGCCCCCGGGAGCGCCGGCCGGGCTGGTCCACCCTCTCTGCTCCCTCCGCCCCCCGCCCCAGGGAGGTGAGCCTGGCAGCCTCCCGGCCGAATTTCCTGGCACTCGGCTGAGAATAAACAGCCCTCTGCGCCTGTCATCCCGTTGCCATGGCGACCCGCTCCGCGGGCGGCGGGGCGGGG